GTCACCAGGCTGTGAATAGCCTAATGTTGGAGAGAACTGGAAATGACGGAGAACTACAGTGTAAGTCACGTAATGAAGAAGTAGTATGAAAAACCACTTTTTAAGAACCCCCGAAACTGGGTGGCAAGCCACAGTACCAGTGTCCCTACTTCCAGATGGGAAATGTTTGGGCATTGGAATGCATGTAACTGTTACAAAAAATGAAGCTGATAAAGCTGTATAGACCTCAAAAACTCTCTCCTGAACTGTATTGTGGGGGTTTTGTGTTTGTTGTTGGGCTTTTTTGGTGGTGGTTGTTTAAAAAAAAAAAAATTTGCATCAGCCTGGAAAGGCAGTGAGAACAAAGATACACTGAATTTTAATGTGAGGAAAGCAGTACACAGGTTGAGAAGATGGTCCTAGGATATGATCCAGACAGAAAAGGTAAGGGACTACTAGTGTGGAAGATTTTTCTTCTTCCTTTTGTTTTTTTTTTTTTTCCTTCTTATCAAAGGTGGTGCATATGGTCTATCTGAATATACCACGGGTGTATTTTACAGTCCCTGTTCTTGCAAGATGTTTTAGCAGTGGAAAGAAAAATAATTGAATTTAGAGTGGTATCTGTGTTACTACCAAAACTTACCAGTTGGTAAAGGTAAAGTTGGCAGTAGTAGGAATTTGTAAGTGTCCCTACCGAAAAGGTGGAGTATTCCTCTTTCCTAACTGGACATCAGGTATAAATGTTTTCTCCTAACATGTAATACTTTGCTGTTACCTCCATTTTCTTGTTCAGGTAATGTGTGTTTTTCTTAAAACAGCTAATAAAAAGGAGATTCTGAAGGGACAAATACTATTCTTTGGCCTAGTTAATTGAAAGAGGACCAAAAAATATCAGAATTTTTTTTGTAGGTTCTATTGTGGTCCCAAAGTGAAGAAAATTCAGTAGTGAGATAAACAGCAGAAGTAGCATGAAGGACAATGCTTTGTAAAGATCTAAAATCTTTGGACAAGTTTTTATCGGATCTGTTGGCGAGCAGTATTAGTAGGGTAGTGTAAGGAAGCATTACTTGGTAACTGGAGTGTCCATGGTTGATAAATGAATGATCAACAGGAACAACTCATTTAAATATCTTAACAGTCATTATTTTAGCTAGCCAAAATTTTAGGTTTCAAACTTGCTGCAGTCTGAAAACATAACAGCAGTTCTTGGTATTTTGTTCTCAGCCTGCTTAGCAAACAAACAAACAGAAACCCCACTCACAGTAACAGTGAAAAAAACCGAACCTGAAAGTGTTCCAGGTTGCACCCAGACAGTGTATAGCTCTGTGTACCTCAGTGCGTGGGAAAGGCCAGCGCTGACTCTGGGAAATAGGCATGGCCCTAAGAGGCTGTATTAAGCAGCTCAGAGCCAGGGGGCAAGTTTACTCACACGGAGAACCCCAAATTCTGAATGTGCTTTCCCATAATGCTCTGGGTGGTGTTTATCACTGCGGGTATCACTGTCATTTGATCTCCCAGTTTTCCCTCCAGTTCTTTGCATGCTTGTTCAGCCTTTAGAGGCCCACGCCACAGCAGTAATACCAAGCTTTTCCTGAACGGTAAAGTCTTTGTAGTTTGAAAGTTTTCCTCTGGTGAAAAGGGTGTCTAATTGTTCAAGACTGTCTTCGTTGACTGTACTTGTCCTGTCAGTCTTTTTAAAGGTTAATTCATCATAAAATACAAGTATGCTACTTCAGGTTCAGTACTACGAAGTTACATGCAAACTCTAGAAGGATGTGTGAATAACCCCGCCGTCTGCCTAGAGCTTGCATGTGACCTGGCACAGGTTTAGGAGCTGCTGCCATCTCTGTTCACAGCCTTGAGCAGATTAAGTTTGAGAATTCTTCCTTCAGGCCCTCTTTATCAACAACTTACTTGAACTGAGCACAGTTTGCATCTTTGGCTTCTATATAATGATAGGAAATGTATGTTTGTAAGTGGTAGCTCTTTAGTCAAATGTCTTTGACTTGAGTGAGTTTAGACTTCTGCAAATTTAGTGTTTGTAGGATAATAAGCATTGAGATTTGGATTATGTTATGATTTTTTTCTGTAGACTATCCTTGTGTCTTGTGGTACATATTTTGGTTTCTCTAGATTATTCCCTTTCTGAGAAGCAAATAGTTGAATTGCATGGTACTGTGTTGTGGTTTTGTTTTTGTATTTTCTTTTTAAAAACACATGTTTAACTTTATTGTTGGGTTCAACAGGTAATAAATGTGCATTTAACTGGTGCAGCACTGATCAATATAACTTGCATTGTATAGGTAAAACGAGCTCTTTGTTGCAAACAACAAATATCATTGGAAGGTGAACAAAAATGATGGCTACAAAAAGCACTTTCCTAATCCGAGCTACAATGCTAATTTAGAGACCTCCTCCCTTCTGGGTTTAAAGCAAGCTGGAAAAAACAGTAAGCAGCCCCTAGCTGTGATGTGAAAGGAAAAGGGAAGACATTTGGAACTTGTTTTCCTGCAAACTGGATAGTATTGCTGTCCTCATTGGTCTGTGATAGACACGGTGGTGTACCTGTTCAAACATACTGTTAAACTTTGATACGCAGGGAGTTTTAGTGGTCGTAGCTTTAAAAACTTGTGAAAACTTCAGCAGGCGCTTTTGCTTTCAGGACCTCCCTCTGCATCAGATATTACTTGTTGAAGTGATTCTGCGGAAGAGAGAGCAGTAATTTGTAAGGGTATGGTCACGTTGTCAAGAACAATAATGTCTTCAGCTTCATTATGATCCTAGTGCAAGGTTCGCACACATACGAATGCATGCTGCTCTTCCCAAAATTCTGTAGCTTCTTCCACAGGAACACCAGTTCCACAGCATTCTTTAGAAGCAAAACCCAAGGCAAAAAAATGCTGTCATGGCTGATTAGTCATTATCATGTGTGAAAGGGATTTAGTGAAGTCTTTAGACCGTGCGGCTTTAATCTGAGAAATCTAAAGGAAAATCTGCCTTTCCAATAGCCATTACAAAATATTAATTTCTTTACCAAGCGCAATGTGCCTTTTCATAGTTTGTGAGACAATATTTAGTATCTGTACTTATCAGATTCGGATGGCATAATACTGGAATAGCAAAGTTTCTTAAAATGCATGTGCTTCTTGAAGTAGAGAAGGGAAGCTGACATCTGTAGGCAAGTTTTTTTAAAGGTTGAACTTTTTTTTCAAATATTTTTTAAATATATATGCCGTTTATGAACCAGATTTTTCTTAGAAGAGGAAGCCACACCAGAGAAGGACAAAGGGGTTCACAAATGGTTCTGATTTCTGTTTTGTGCTATATTGTCCTTGCCCAATGCCAGTCACAGCTGTGTTTTTTTATCTGCCACCTTGCAATATACCATATTTCTGACAAGCATTTTAGTTCATAGAAATGGGAGATTACATCACTGTCCTGTCATTTGGATGCTTCGTCACTAGGCAACAGTGAATGTAATTCCATTGTTCAGTGACACTGCTTTGAGTCTTTACTTTGTGTATAGAAATTGTATGTCTGCATTTTGCTGTGTTGTACCTAACGTGGCAGGATTTGTATAGCTGGATTAGTGTTTCAGCGTCTTTTGTGCAAAGGGCCGATCCTGTAATAGCTTAACTTCAGATTTTCTTGTCTGGAGAAGATGGCTTGCTGTTGGTCTTGGACTGTTACTGAATTTTTGGATTTGCTGCCATTGTATTTATATAGCACCGTTTGCATGAATGTGAGCTTCTTGGATGTGCTTTAAGATCACTGTGGAGGACACACTTACACGGCACAAAGAGAGGCCGAGACATCAAACCCACACAGGACTGACAATACTTTAGTCATTGCATCTTCTGAGTGAATTGTTTTAGCTTAGCCTTGTGTTGGGACACCATTAAAGCATGTCACGAAATATTCAGATTATATTGTCCATCACTGCAAATCAATTGAACATAAATGCTTCGGTTTAATATATAGCAGAACTGTTTCATTCTGCAGTGACTGTGAAGACAGTGGTGAAAGACACTTGAAAAGCAAAAATTAAAAGGCCCTTTTATTTCGAAATAAATACATGTTAGCTTGCTCCTCAAGCAATAGCTGGCTGTCCTTCACTAGGTCTGCGTAGCTTAAAGTTAGCGAAGATATCGATGTGTTGGAGTCCCTGTAACCATAAGGAAGGTAAGGTCACATCAGATTAAGTGCTTTGTCTTAGGGTTACAGATCCATCCTACAGGTCTTACTTGCAGCAACTTTAAAGTGATTGATTGTTCAATAAAGACCATTTTGTACAGTTATCCTTCAGAGTACATCTCCTTTAAGAGTTTTGTGGTATATGTTTCTAGGTATTTGGTTCTGTCTTTTAATAATTGATGTATGTTTGTTCTTACCTGCTTTGTTGGTTGAAAACTGAGTTTACAGTGCTGTGAATGTTTCAGAAAGGCTGTTATTTCTAGCAGCTCATCTGTCCCTGGTAGAAGCTAAAATTGGAATTAAATCATAGGTGGAGCCATGTGAAAGAATAAGTATTAGGTAAATAATGACAGATAAAAGAACTGTAGACATGTTCTGCAAAGCTGTTGAATAGCAAATAACTTGTGGCTTGGATGGACTGGAATGCAGTTCTCCAAAGTGTGAGAGTTTGAATGTTATGCTATGTAGAAATTTAACAGCATGGGAAGGGAGGATTTGAGAACAGAGATCAAGATTTTGGTTTTCATGGCGTGGTTACCCTCATTTCTTGACTGTATGCCTCAGAAGACTTCCATGGTGTAGTCAAAACTAAATCTGCCCTGGTTAAACGTGGTTTGAAAACTACTGGCTAGCCTCCAGTTGAGATGTTTCTAAAAAACATATGCTATAATCTAGCAAAGATATCTAAATTTAAAAGTAAAAAAAGCCTAATTGCTGAGGAAGAGTACTTTATGTTATGGTGTTTGATAAAACAATTGTTGCAGAGCAGTCTTGCTGAAGGGAGGTTTGGTGTTCAAAGAAACTTAACCACATGATGTCTCTCGTAGGCAGCAGCAGGCATACTGTGCTACGTGGGAGCCTATGTGTTCATCACATATGATGACTATGATCACTTCTTCGAAGATGTCTACACGCTAATTCCAGCAGTTATTATCATAGCTGTGGGAACACTTCTTTTTATCATTGGACTTATTGGGTGCTGTGCCACAATTCGAGAAAGTCGCTGTGGACTTGCTACAGTAAGTTGCAGAGTTCTTACGTGTTTTGCCTGTTGTATATTTGGCCGCCTTCCCTTTTAACAGACTTCTAAAATTTCTTTCAAACTTGTTACAATCTTATTTTATGGCCTTTAATGTCTTCCTCTTATATTTTGCTATGAACATCTTATTGCAATTTTCTGTTCTGAATAGTAGTGTTAAATCAGCCATTTCTGGCAGCAGCGGGTTCCTCGATTTTGCCTTTTTCAGAATGATAGTCATCTCATCTAAGGAAAAAAAAGTTAAACCGTATAATTAAGTCACACCATTTTTTAAATATCACATTTGTCTGTTCTGGTTGAAAAACTGACATTAGACACAGAGAAAGGTGAGCCAGGAGCTTTCTTGTGTTAAGTATCTTGCAACAAGGCTCACTGAGGGTTGATTGTTAAATATTTTTCTGTATGGATAAATTTGGCCACTTTGTTTGCAGTATTTTGTTGTGTGCTTCCAAGCATTTTAACCATAATTTCAGCTTGATAATTAGGTAGGAGAGAAGAGAGACCACCATTTAAACTGTCCCTATGGGGGTTTCTGGTGTGGGGTTTTTTGTTTTTGTTCTGGGTTTTTTTTTTTTGCTGGGTACTATGCAGACTTCCTTAGCAGTTTATTTTGGAAGTGTTCTTAAAATCTACCAAGACAAATGCATAGCTTGCTGTCTCTGTTACTTGTTGCAGGGCTTTGACTGAAGAAATGTTCCTTTAGTCCATCTACCACTCTTAGTAGCAGCCTGGGTATCTGCTTTGATATGAAGCTATTTGTCTAACAAAGAAAATTGAAAGGAATACTTGATTAAAACACTCCAGTGTGATGTTCTCAGTCCTAATGCTCAGTACTTTCCTGGCTGGGCCACTGCTTGTTACTTGGTGAAGCTGTAAACACTAAAGTGTCTTGAATGAAGTTAATTCTGGGCTCATTTGGTCCACTTAATTAATTGCCTGCTTTAAGTTACCTGTTAAATCAAAACCTTCCCTGAGAAATTACATTAAATAACAAAATCTCTGTGGAGACTTTCAGAAAATGCAAAAAATCTTGATTGTATTTTACAGTTTGTGATCATCCTGCTCTTGGTTTTTATCACTGAAGTTGTTGTCGTGGTTCTTGGATACATCTACAGAGCAAAGGTAACAACTTCTCATTTTCAGTAAATATTTTGTTGTGACCTGTGACCAGAATCCAGAGGTGTAGTCTGTACTGTATTTGATTCTGTAGAACCATTAATGGGTATTTGTTAAGGGAATAAAACCAAACCTCCAAGTGGGTTAATTTGAGATATCAGCATCTTACAATTTAGAATGCCAATAGTCTTCAGAGCAGGAATTTTTCTCAGAGGTAGAGAAAATTATCTGGAATATATCATTAAGAGTTGAACAGTAGAGGGAAATCATAGTAATTGGTACCTTTCTGTTTTCCGCATGGTCTTCTAACTTACTTATGCCTTGATTTGGGGAATGGTTTAGGCTGGACAGTATTTGAATTTAGGGCATATTGTTTTGATACGCAGTAGCTTAGAAGTCACGTTGTGTTCTGGTGTACAAACTAATACTGCATAAGAGTAAAACCAAATAGATTGGATGTATTCATGTATACTGTCTAGCTTTGTACAGACTGTTGACAAGGATTATGGCTGAAGTTGTGACTTCTCCTACTGTTTGTTTAATGGTAGTTAAGAAAAAGGACCAGAAAAATGAAATTAGTTGTGTTTGTACCAGCATAATATGTAGCAGAAAGTACCACATGGTATTAGAGGTACCACAATGTAGCCTGAAGAAATGAAATTGCTACTGTGCACCATTTCACAGGCTTTTGTTATATCTAAATTTTGCCCAAAAGCTAGCAGAAGAGGCATTTTTAGTTACGACATGTAGTACGATGCATTATAGGACACTCCAGTGACACCTTAATAGCAAGCTGAACTCCAGCACCATTTACCTTTTTTTGGCCTTCTGTGTTTATATAAACAACCTAGTTCTTATTAGATCAATGTTTTCTCCTGCTTACTTTCTCCTGCTGTCCTGAAAGAAGTGGTGAGACAAGTGTTACATCTAGATTTGCTTGGTTTAGAAAGGAAGAAAGGCTGCCTAACAAGAGAATCTTGAACTGTGCTTATAGATCTGGCTGAACAGTTAGAGTGGGTTGCTGCTACAGAAATGCACTACTGGCAATGCTTAAATTCAGGATATATTTTTCTACTGGTGTATGTGGCATCTTGGCAGTGCACCGAGAAGATCATTTTGGATTCTGAAGCTTGTGGTGGAAGTCTTTAAAAGCAGAGGAGAGCAGTACAATTCCTGGATAATAGAAAAGATATTCAGTTCTTACCTGTTAGCTCGAATGATTGCCTTTTGCTCCAGTACTTGCACAAACATAGTGTATTACAGTATAGTTATTTGGGAATTACCATGGATCTGATCTGGACTAAGCTGTGGTCACCTTACTCTCTTCTGTATCTCAGTCTTGAAGTGACTCTTTTCCAGTTACCTGCATTCAGAGCAGATAAAGGCAGATGCATAGATCTTCCTTTCCTAGCCCATCTGAAATTACACACCTGAAACAGCTGAAAATTGGATTGGTCCCAGCTTTATGTTTCTGCTTCTGCCTTGCTGCCATACTGTTTCACAGCCCTGGGCAGTGCAGAGTCAGAGCTTGGGGGAAGAAGCCTCTTTTTTGTAGCAGCACAGTCCTGTGTTAAACCATTTGTGGGAGTCAGTGCTCGAAAAGTAAATCTTAAATATTTTGAAAGGACAGTCAGATTTTGTTAATAAAAATGAGAGTTTTCTACTACACTACAGTGCTTAGCATCTTAAATTCTTGTTTTAGAGTGCAATAGGAGTGTCAGAAATGTATTACCAGGGAACTGGGAGGTGAAATCTGCTTAGATTTGCAGTTATTTTTGCCAGAATAAATAAAGCAGCTCTGTTTTTTCTCACATGGCATGTATAGATTGATGAGGTTTGTTTGTTTTGTCTTGAGGGGGGCGGGTGTTGGATTTTCTTAAAGGCACCTGACTGATGTTAAAATTGCTTTAGTGTTCCTGTCCAAACTTCCAAGAAAATTTACGAACAAAAGGAAAGATCAAAGTCATGGCAATTGTTCATCAAAACTCTTGACATGGGACTGAATATCAGGTTGTCTCAAGAAGGTGGTATTGGCCCTTTTAAGTTAAGGTACAATGGCTGCTCTCTAAACCTGTCTGTGTGTCCGGTTCAGATTTCTACTCCCTGGGCAGCACACGAAGCACGCTGTGGTCATGTTGTGATAGAATGACTCTGCTGCAGAATCTGCTGGCATTGATCCGTGTCAGTAAAAGTGAGGCTTTTTGTCAATGGCAGCAGGGGTTAAACAGGCTGTCAGTGGATTGAGGACTCTGTGGCTTTTTTCCTCTGGTTGGAATAGTTCACTCTTCATTTTTCATAAAACCTGCCAGTTGGCGGCTCTAGCTAGTGACTTCTGTTTTTGTTGTATGTAATTTCCATGGCTTTCAGACATCATGTTGCCCTACTTGAACTGCAAGCCAAATGCTAGGCAAGTGAGCACTGAAATAAATGATTTAAAATCCTGTATTGAGCAGTTGTGTTGAATGACTGAGAGTTATAAATCACATTAGTTAAATCATCAAGCAACTAATTTTGAACTAATCTGAAACAAGTTGTCTGTGCCGGCGAAATTGACCTCTTTCATACCTGTCATGATACAGATTTACTTGTAAAGCTAACCAGCATTCTTGGGTGGGAGGGAATGAAGCTTGTGCTATTGCTGCAGAAAATTCTTCCCTTCAGGCGTTTAAGAGAGTGATGTGTTGGCGGGACCTTCCTACTGTAACTTGCAAATCTAGAGAATATGCATGCTTGGATAATGCTCAGCCCTAAGATTACATTCCTTCTATGTAATTCCTGTTGGATATGATAGCAGTTCAGAGCTAAACTTACTATTGTACAAATGTTTAGCTACACCAAACTTTCTGTGCATTTAAGAAACAGTTTACAGTGAAACACGTTACTTAAGGTTCTAGTAAGATTTCCTCCAAAGTAAGCATTATACAATGCCTTTTGGAGGACAAGTGGTGATTCTTGGGTGGCATCCATTTCTAACACATGTACTTGACAACATCTTTAGTGGTTTGACTCATCCGCAGTAGCTTTAGGAGCTATTCCAGTAGCTGTTGCTACGTAAGGTGTGCTGCTATCCGCGTTTTTCAAAAAGAGTGAGGAGACTGGGACTGAAGGGAGAGCTTTGTCACTGCAGAGTGAAATAGTCAGCCACAATACCTTGTCTTTGGGAATTTACCTGTGCTTCAGTCAGAATGGGAAGAGCAGGTGATACATCTTGTGTCCTTGTGGTCCCAGGCAGAACGAGTTAGCCCACATGGTTATACTGGTTTTGGTTTGGAACTTTGAAGGAGTAGGAGGAAGTGGGAAGGTGAATGCATGCTCTTTTGGAGAGCCCTTAACTTCTTGGAATGTCTGCTGGTGTCATATAAAAAAACCCCAAAACTGCTCTTTGTTTTTCTTGTCCCTTAGCTGCAATCTAGCAACATCTTTGCAAAAGTCAAGTTAGAGTTTCTTAAGAAGCTGTACCACCAACTTATGCTAATTTCAGATGATAGGAAGTTACCTTGTTTTCCTGAATTGCTGTAATTAGAAGTGAAAAGTATTTTACTTAGAGCTGTACTACTTCTGCTGGTTTGCTAATGTAGATTCTTTCCTAATACCTCACAGGTGGAAGATGAAGTTGATCACAGCATTCAGAAAGTATACAATGGATACAATGGGACAAATCCTGATGCAGCCAGTCGTGCTATTGACTATGTGCAGAGGCAGGTGAGACTGCAAGACATGGTCCTTTCTGTCCTTAAAACATAGATGCTGTGTTGTTCTGCTACTTGTGTAGCATGTCTTCATTCTGACAAATCTAGGAAGCAGCTGAATGCTCCATAAATAGTTAACTTGGTTAAAATTAGTAGAATTGTGGCATTGTGGATGGGGAGATACGTTTTGTGTAATTGGCTCTCTCTTGGGTCGGTGTTTCGATTCAGATATTTACTACTTACGTATTTTTTTGCAATGGAACATTTCAAAATGTTCTCACATCTGCCTAGATTTAACTAGAACATGCTAGGAGAAAAAGGTGTTCTAGATTCTGGCTGAAAGCTAGCGTCAAACTTCTGGATTTGAGCTAAAAAAAAACAGTCATACTTAAGGAAGATTGAGGAGCTTTCAACATTCTTACAGTTGCATCAATTTAAAAAGTTGTCTAATCTTTACATGGTTAGTGTCTAACGCATTTAAGTTGATTATGTTACTCATTAATACACCGATTAAATCCCTCCTGAAAGAGAAGGACAAGAAGCTGGTAAGTTGATACTTGGGGCAGTACCTCTGCTTGTGCCTACACTGTACCCAAGAAAACTCCAAGGACTTCAGTAGAGTATGAGCTGTCAGCAGAATGTGTTTATTTTTAATTGGTTCATTCCTGAAGGCTTTCTACATGGCCAAGTGGGCATGTAACTATATAAAAAGAACTTTAAGG